TCTTCCTTTTGGTGTTTGCACCCTGGGTACGCTGCTTTAAGTGCCGAGCTACTTGTTTTTTGTCACGTGGCGTGATTGCGAGGTCGGGCCAAATCTTCCTTCATCAATTGCCCCCCACTCCTCGCGCTAAGGGTCTTGCCCTGGCGCGGGGAGTTCGCAAGGTGTCAAGTAGATTTGCCTTGCACTTTGAATCTTGGTTCTTACGGCGCAAGGTGCGTTGTCAGGGTTCCTTGGGTTTCTTCGAGCGTCCAAAAGGCAGGAAGCGTGCCGGCCTGCCTAAACGCTRATAGATGTGGCGACGTGCGCTTTATTTCGAAATTTCAAAAAAGTGCACCACTTGGGAGGCGTGATAGTAGGCGTTTTTTCAAATTTGAAAAAACATGTCGCTGCCACTTTTATTGAGGAGACGTGCGTTGGCGTTCCGTCAGTTTCGAAAAGACGTGCGCCGGCGCTCTGTCAATTTCAGAAAGACGTGCGCCAATCACGTCTCAGTCTTAGGGGACGTGCGGTCAGTGCGGCTGTGGACCGTCAGATTGGCTTTAATCTAAGCCGTCGCTTTTCGGTCACTATGAGTATAAATAGTGGGGGGGACCCCAGTCGCTATCACTTCTGTATTTCTCTCGAGCTCGCGTCCGAGTTTCAGCTCGCATCCAGTTCGCGTCCAGGTTTTTTCAGTTCGCGTTTAAGGTCTTCTGCTCGTCCGAGCTCCTGTGGTCTACAGCCTTTTTTCGGGTGAGTACTTTCCTGGATCCCATCTCACTCTCCGATGTCTAGCTTGGATAGCTCAGATAGTCCTTCCAGCGGGTCTAATGTAGGTTCTACGAACCAAGTTGCATCCCCTGATAGCCCTAGCGAGTCGGAGGTAGAGCTCGAGGAAGAGTTCGAACTCGTAGGCCGAGGCGCTTTGGGTAGTTTGGCATCCACCTCTCGTCAGGTTCGGATGTTAGACAAGTTTGGTCCTTCGACCATGACGCCCGAGGGTCTCCAATCCCTCATTACCTACTATAACTTGCCCGGGGAGTACGCTTATTTCATACCTTCGAGTAGCTTTCCTTAGGAATACGGTCCTGATGAGATCGTGATATTCCGGGAGCAGCTCGCCGCGGGGCTGCGATTGCCTTTCCATCCCCTCCTTATCGAAGTCTTGAACCACTACGGCGTGACGGTCGGCCAGCTTCACCCGAACTCCATTCGAAATTTGGTGGGGACAATCTCCTTATTTTGCGAAGAGAGCTTTCCGTTGGACTTGGAGATTTTTTCTTCAATCTTGATGCTTAAGAAGCAAGCGGGTCCCCTCCCCGGGCGTAGGCGGGCATACTACCTGTCTCCTCGCCCGGGCTTTAAGCTTTTACATGAGCTCCCCAACAAGGTCCCAGCATGGAAGCGGGACTATTTCGGGGTGCGAAGTGTGCTGGGGTGGCCGTTTCAGACCGGGTGGGGGATGGCCGCTCCTGACTCCGGGGTCACGCTTGACAAAGAGACGGCGAAGGGCCTCCGGCAATGGGTGCGGCTTCGGCTGAAGTGTCAACAGTATCTGACGGAGGACAAGCTCATTGCAGCCGGCCTGAGCTCGGGTAGGTTCTTCACTTAGAGATTCTGTCTTGCTATCTTTCTTGCTTTTTACTGATAGCAAACTTCTTTTCGCAGGTGTGATGGATTCTCGAGGGACCCGAGGTGGGCACTTGTTCCAAGGCATAAAGAGGAGAAAGCGGGTTGCCAAGCGAACTCGCGCCGAGATGCCCCGGGATGCGGAGCCCRAGGTGTCGGACTATCCGCCAGAAGATCTGCCCAGGGAGCTCGATATGGTTCCTCCAATGCAGAAGTCGGCAGGGGGCCCTTATGCTGAGACTACTTACACAGGGGCTCCTACATACTCCGGTGCTCCTGCTTACTCCGGATCTGCTCATACGCGAGTTGGGCCCTCGGGCTCGGGGGCCTCGGGGGATTTCAGGAGTGTGCTATCGTCGACCCATGCTCTTCAAAAGAGTAAGGAGGCTATTTTCCCCGAGGAGGTCGCGGCGTGGATTGATCTCCCTCTGCATCAAGTGGCCTGTCGTGCCGTTA